TAGGTTTCTCTTTTCTCTCTCTCCATGTCTTACGGTTTGTCTTTCCTTCTCACAACATCCAATGATTGCTGTCTCGTGAGCATATCTTTCTCATGAACTTAGACATATAAACTTCTCATTGCTCTCAATCATTCTGTGCGTATGGTACAACTATCAGAATCTTCACTGTTGCATTTGAAGTGTTTTTGTCTAGTGTGTCAGTCCTTCTTCTGGGATACTGTATCCTTCTTAGCCTGGATTCTCCTTGAGGAAGGGTGCAAGTAGCCCATAATGTAAATGATCTAAAGTGTATCAATTGAGTCATAAAACATTCACCGCCATCATCATTATCATCACAAACCATTCCTGCCTCATAAACATTTTAAATATCTCAAACTATCTCTGGAATTTCAGCCAGAACTGCCAGGGACCATTGGCAGCTGTGACATGCAGGCTGCGAGGTGAGTGGGCTTCTTTTTTTTTTCTTTTTTTTCTTTATAAGTCAATGTTCTGGATGATCAAGGAATCTGAAATAAAATATGTATTTAAATGAGCCATTGCCCAAAGGAGGGGACCTCATGAGATTCATGGAAGCCAAAAAAAAATGTTGATTAATTTGAATGAATCTGTGTCCATGCCTGCATGCTTAACCTGTGTTTATGATCATCAAATGCTAGAGCTAGAAGACAAACGGTTTCTGAGATATGATGGTGTCTCTTGTTGAATTTTGAATTGATTTATACAAGACTGATGACAAACCTTTACGAAAAAAATAATAAAACATGAAAACGCTTCAATGTTATTGCCAGAGCCAGCTGCATTCATTTAAACAAACTCTCAGAAGAAGAAAAAGTAAATAAAATGGTGTTTTGGGCGGGGGGTTTTAAAGTCAATATTGTTTCATCATACATAGTAAAGTACAAGACAAGAAGCATCAAGGACTACTGTAAGTTTTAGTTGCTTTGTAAAATAAGACTTTGTTTTTTTCTAATTTTGAACTCGAGACAGGTCGAGATACCATTGTTACAAGATCTAGATAACACATTTTGCAGATAAGACTGTTTTTTTTCTAATTTTGAACTTGAGACGGGTCGAGATACCATTGTTAACTACAAGATCTAGATAACACATTTTGCAGAAAGTTGAAAACTTGGAAAAATTTTACACTTTTAAAGTTTCTAGTTTATCTCGAACATAGCAATTATAGCACAAAAAGATTTGCCCTGAAAATCACCTCATCAGAAAAAAAAAATGAAATTCCGCTATCTATGCATTTTTCCCCCAGAATGTGGCCACCCAGCTGAGAATCTTCCCAATTCTATCATCAATGGCCTTGATGCTCTGCCTGGCGCTTGGCCCTGGATGGTGAGTTGTGTAGAGGAAAAGAATGCGCTCATTCTGCCATATTCTTAGCACTGGTGTAGCGGGACAGATGCAGCAAACCTATCATGGATTATTGTTGTTATTAAATTTATCATTACTAATGTTATTATTATTGCCATGATTAAAGTTGTTATTATTATGATCATATTCATTATCATCATTGCCACCATCAGTCATCATCATCACCACCATCCATCATCATCATCATCATCATCTTTGTCATGATTACTATTGCCATCATTATTAGTATATCATTATGATTATAGTTGTTGCTGTCATTTTAAAAATTGTTATTATGATAATAATTATCATTATTTTTATTTCTACTACTATTACTATTACCATTTTTGTTATAGTTTTTATGATGACATCTGTTTCAGGTGTCCTTCCAACAGTATGGCGTTCACAAGTGTGGAGGAGCTATCATCAGCCCGTACTTCGTCTTGACCGCTGGTCACTGTGTGGAGTGAGTCAGTTTGTTCATTCAGTTCTGTTTTACTTGTTATGGTTCACGCCCAACTTTTTACGTAATTGATCTGTTCGAGGTTGGATAGTATAAAAAGAGCAAAAATCTGCTATAAGCTACCCAATCTGGTTCAAAATGAAATATGCCCTCTGTCTGTGGAATTTATAACCAATATACCACCACAGGTCTGCTTCTACTTTCTGCCCAGGTTGTCTCTATCAGGTGAAAGTAGCCAGGCTTCGAAATGATCTAAATTTTGCTGAAAGGGGTGTAAAGCATTTGCATTTTTCCTGCAGATCACAGAATATTTTTCTACCAACGAAATGAAGCCTCTACCACATCTAAGTCAAGTCTCAAAAGTTTTCTATGTAATGAACTTTCTCAAAGTTTGTCAAATACATTACACAATTACGACATAAACTAAAGCAAGTTTGTTTGTTTTTTACAATTTTGCTCTTTGTTCTTTGACAGTTCCTACATGAGCTTCGACTCTCTAATGGTCATCGCGGGCACCACCCACCTTTCCAGACTGGGCCAGACAGGAAGACGTCACTACATCCGCCGCGTCATCCTCCACCCGGGCTTCGTGTTCGGCAAAGCCAACGACATCGCGCTGCTGGAGCTGAAGACTCCGCTGGAGTACAGTGACTACATCAAGCCTTTGTGCTTCCCGGAGGAGGATGACGTCTTCACCATGGCCAATGAGTGTCACATCGCAGGCTGGGGGCATCTCCAAGGAAATGGAGGTCTGTCTCAAGTTGTTGTTGTTGTTTTTTTTTGGGGGGGGGTTTCTGTTTTTTTATTTTTAAAGAGGCCGAAAAACTGATACACCTTTTTAACACTTTGCTGTCACATCTCGCCGATCGGCGATGTTTACCTCCCAGTTTCTTTGGATTTTCCCAAAAATGCCTTTGCCTTGAATGGCAAGGGTTTTTATTATATGAGCCTTGTGATGGCAAAGTGTTAAAAAAAACTTCCCCCGCAACACTGAAGAATCTGACATTTTCACCATAGACACTGGCAGAAATAGTTGGGAGTGATGGGAAGTTTATTTGTCTGAGTTCATGAGAAGGAGATATGCTCATCACACAGCAGCCATCCACTAGATATAATGGAGGCCGAAACCTTTTCGGCTTCATGTAGCTTCCATCCCACTTTGAAATTAGCACAAGGCGGAAACGTCGAGAACAGATACTGCACTTTGATCTTGGCCAAAAGGCTGAGAAGCAAAAGGTCTTCTGTCTCAAATAACGTTACTGTATAGATTTAGTAAATGTAGACCACAGGTATCAAACGCAAGGCCCGCCGGCTGCTTTCAGCCCAGCAAACAGTTGTATCCGGCCCACATGAGAACTGTTGGTGTTGCAAATGATGCAAAACACTTTTCTATGATTAAAACTAAATGAACCTAGCTATTGCTGCTGTTGTTGTTGCTGTGTTTGTTTATTTGTTTTTTAAAAAAAGTAAAATTGTTCCCGCATCCGATCCGGACATTGAGGATTGCCTTGTTAGTGGGAATATCTTCAAGGGCCTTCGACATATTGTGGTAGGGTGGCCAGTTCCTTTCCACGCCACCTTTACTTCTCCAACTCAAAGTCAGGTACCCATTACTGCTGGGGGTGTAAAAATCCGTGTCAGAACCGAGGCTCGAACCAGGACTTTCCGCCTCAGAGAGGAGCACATTGTTTATTTATATGTCTGATAAAAGATTCAGAGGCAAAATTAGTATTACATTGGCATGTTTACTCAAACAAACAGCAATACCCTTCTTTATGTCTAACAAACTCCTCCCCCATGTTTTCTTTCTTTTCCTTTCTTATAATTCTTCTTTTCTACTGTTTGCAAACAAACAGACAAACAAACAGACGGCACCTGTCACCCTGTTGAACAAACTGTACATCCTGTATATTCTTCTTTTTCTCTTTTCTTTTCTATTTCTTTCTATTTTTGCAAACAAACGAACAAATAAACGACACCTGTCACCCTGTCTAACAAACTCCACCTCCTATATATTCTTCTTAATCCATTTTCATTTCTTTTTACTTTTCTTTCTATTTTCGCACACAAAGGATCAAAAGACACCTATAACCCTGCCTAACAAACCCCCACCTCCCACCGTACCAACCCCTCCCCCACCCCCCATCCATCCCCAGGTGCCCCATCCAGGAACCTGCAGCAGACCAAGCTGAGCCTGTGGGACACCAACAAATGCAACAGCAGCTTCATGTGGGATGGGCTTATCAAGGAGGACGAGATCTGTGCTGGTTACTACAACGGCCTCATTGCGCCCTGCTATGTATGTTGATTTCTGGTTTTAATTCCTGGTTTGTTTGTTTGTTGTTATTTTGTTTATTGTTTGTTTTTTTTTGGGGGGGGGGGTATGGCTGTGTAGTTTACATGGCTTTCTATAAAGGTTTATTTAGTCTCCTGAATTTTATCGGACCTTTTTATGCTCACTGTTTTTCAACGAGAATATGGTTGTGTTATTTATGTATATTATTTTGAAGCTTTTTTTTTCCAGAATTTTGCAAGAACATGTTATTTACTTAGTTTTTCTGTCAGGATTTAGTCTCCTCTACCTTGTGTACTGTTCTACTTCCATAGTTTTGCTGTGAGGATTTATTTTTCTAAATTTTGCATAATTGTTTTATAAAAACCGTTTTCCATGAGGTTTAAGTCTTCTGAATTTTATATGACCTTGTTATGTATTTAGCTTACTATTATGCTTGAGGATCATTATTTCCTGATGACAATGTCATCATGTAATAACAGTTACCGTTTTGATTTCAATCTCTTCAGTTCATTAAGAGATAAATACTGTTTTCTTTTCTCAAATCTGATGTTTTATGTACCTATTACGCTTTCAGTGCCATGGCCCCTTTAACCCTATCCGTATGTCATGTTTTTACTATTGTATCCATACGACGTGGGGACCTCTGTGCCACCACTTTCCTAAGAGGAAAGTTACTCTTTAATCTGATCTGTACGCTTTGCATAGCAGTCTGTCAAAATGATTTTTTGAGAAATACTGAAAGTTTCAAAGAGATCTTCGCACTAGAAGTATTCTAAAATGGGAAGAGTATAATCCCAGGGGTACAAAATGACCCCATGGAGTATGGATAGGGTTAAGACATGGTCCTAGGTTCTCGGAAAACTGACATCCATTTCATGTCATTATTCGTTTTCTCTTCAGGGGGACAGCGGTAGCGCTGTTGCGTGCAAAGATGAGTTCGGCACCTGGAAGTCTGTTGGAGTGGCCAGTTATGTGTTCCAGACATGCAATGTGGCATCCAAGCCAAGTGTTTTTGCTGCTACACTCCCATATCTGGACTGGATCAAGAATCAAACAGGTTAGTTGTCTGCTGTGATGTTGCACAGGTGAAAATAATACAGAGAATTTTGCATTGTGTTTATGTGGTGTGCTCATTTTGACTTCTTAGTGTAAGACTCTGCAGTACGTGATTTTTATAAGTGATGTACGACAGTGTAGGGAAGCTAATGTTTCTAGAGGGTCGGGGAGAGACAGCAACCTGCATGGAAAAGCAAGAAGAATATCCAACCAGTTGTCAATTGGCACGATCAGCAGGCAGACCCTTTCATGGATCCTGGAGAGGAAGGAGGACAGCTATGGCATTGTGCCACCTGCAATGATGCCTGTTCTCCAACCAAGTAAAGGAAAAGAATCTTACAGCGAGCAGTTGATTATGCATGTATATGTTTTTTTGGGTGTGTTGATGGGGTTATTTTTCGGGGGAGGAGATGGGGGGATAAAGGGTTATGACTTCATTTATCTTTATATATTTTGTTCTTTTCAAACATTTCCATGACAAGACCCTTATATGTATGTGTAGCTACACCTGTTTCATTATATTAATATGTGTCACTCCACTGGCAAATTGAGTTATTGGTATAATCTTTGTCAAAGTTCTATTTCAAGTCACAAATAATTGTGAGTGTGACCTGTTACTTCTCTTTCTTTTTGTTTTACCTTTATTCTGATTAGGTTCAAAGCAGATGGAGGGTACCACTGATAGATTTCTGTTTTCTGCCTCGACTAGTTCTGTCTGTCAGTCTTGCTTTTTCCTATCACTCTATGACCTTGACTGTAATTATGCTAATGTGCTTCTGTTTATCTAAATTTGACTGATCTATGTAAGTGGACGATGGGTGCTCTGATGTGGTTTGCTCCTTCTTTCCTATCAAACATCTACTATCATCCTTATATCTTCTTCCTTTTCATTCTGTTACTCTCTAGAATCAACCATAATCTTTGGCAAATGTATGACCTATTTGTATTGCAAGTGATGTAAAACTCTTGCTTTAGCTGAACTGAGTGATTTATTGGGGGCTTTAAAACCTGTGGATGTGCTTACCTACAATAACATAGACCTCTGCATCTCAATGGTAGCAGTATTTGTCTTTGTGAAACTTGATGATGATGGCTATTTTCTTATTCATGTTTTCAGTGTGCCAGTTCACGTGCGACAACGGTGTGTGTCTGTTTGACAAGAGCATGTTGTGCAATGCTATCGACGACTGTGGAGATAAGAGCGATGAAATCAACCTTTGTGGTAAGCTTGCTTATTTCTGCCTTAATTTATTTTGTCCTTTTTAAAGTTTTTTTAAACCACATATTTTGAAAATGTGTCAAAATGGTTGATATTTTTAATGGTATTTTATCAGGTTGGTTTTCTTTTAGTCGTCAGAATCCTGAAGTTGTGCAGAAATTACATTACCAATAATATCAAATGTTGCACCCTCAAAGAGGGTTGTCTTTGGGTGTGTCCTTGAGCAAGGCACTTACAATTATTAAAATTTGTATTGTGATAGTGTGTATTTGGTGCCACTGCAAGCTTTAGATAAATTTATGTATGTTTTATACAAACCATTCGACCCAAATTTCCCCCCTGAGAGTCAATTTAAAGTTATATTCTTCTTTCTTTAATTTTTTGTTATCTATACTATTCATCCAAAATTATAATTTGAAGTCTTTTTCTATACGCTAAGTCCTGTCTAACTTTGAGGAGAAAACTTCTCCTTTATCTGTTTGGAGAAACGGGTGTGGGTGGTTGGGAGGTGCTCTGGTGTGGTGAGCTTCTTCTTTCTTACCAAACATCTATCGTCCTTATCTCCCCTTCTTTTTTTTAATGTTTGTTACTCTCTTGTAACATCTCTAATCTTCTGGCGCTCATATGACCTTATGCAGTTGCGAGCACCGTAAAACCTCTACTAAAACTAACTAAAGGAGAAACGGGAATTAATTTTGCTTTGTCATCTCGTCTTGTCCTCAGACATTTCGGCCAACTGCAGCTTCACAGACTACTTCCTGTGCGGTTACCAGACCAAGCTGAAATGGAAGCTGGTCACCCACGGCAACAGTAAGGACGCTGCCAACAGATTCCCTCTCTTTGACCACACAAAAGGGGGCGCTCCAGGTAAGATGTGGGCGGTTGGCGGGTGCTCTGATGTGGTTTGCTGCTTTTTTTCCTATCAAACATCTTTCATCGTAAATCTCTC